CCATTGTGCAGACTCCACCTTCATGATCTAAAAGCTCTATCTCCAAATGCCGTCAATCTGGCGGGGCAGGACGTTAGTTTTTTTTTTTTTCATGTGGGGTGACACGATTCAGTCTATCACTAACCTAGCTTTTCTTCAAGGGCCACTCTAGGAACAATACGACATCAAAGGACGTAAAATGGTCCCTTTACCTTGTCACAAACGGCCTGTAGCTTGTGAGGGCTCCTTCAAAGCTGAGTGAGAACAGAGCTATCTACGGCACCTGTTACACATACTAAAATGCAAAGAGCAGGACGTCAGTGCCCTGGAGATGAGTCTAATGTGCGTATGTGGGTGGCTGGGGACTGTGGGCGGCTGGGTGAGACTATGGGGGTTAGGGTGCCAAGCAGGGCGCCAGGCAGAGGCACTTCAGAGGGTGGCGGTGGGAGGGGAGAAGGGATCAGAAATGTCACTGGCCAGGGCTGCTTATCTCTGTTTACAGGCCCAAAGAGTAGGCCAAGGTCCTGTTGTAACAGCAACAGGGGACTTGTGGCCACATAGTGTGCGTGAATAGACAAGAACTCTGGAAAGTGACAGAACTCAGTGCCAGGCGGAGTGAGGGCAGAGGGAGGGCCTTGGGCCAGTGGCCGTGTGGGTGGGGAGCAGTGACCCCTCTTTGCTCCCCCTCCCAGAAGAATGAAAGCTGGAGAGGGAAAAAGGCTCTTGGCAGAAGATGAGGAATTTGCTTTTGAACACTCCCTCTCCCTCTACTGGAGGCAAAGACTGGTTGCATAGTCCAGGATGGCCTTGAACTTGTGACCCTCTTGCTTCCACTTCAAAGATACTAGGGTTGTAGGCATGTTCCATCGTATCTGATGGGTACGTATGTGAAGCATGGCATGACACATGTCCTTAGTTGTGAGTACAGAACCCGTGGGACAGTAAGGGCAAGTGTCTGATTGGAGGCTTGGCGCCAAGCATTATCTCAAGGTGGTAGACAGGAAGTTGAACCAGCAAACACGTTCTCTAGAATAGGAAGTTGGAAGAGGAGCAGAGGGCCCTTCAGGCCCTGGAATTCATCTCCCTATAGATATGCTCAAGAAAGGCCCTTGGAAATCTCTTGAGAGGAACATCCAGTTCTCAGAGCTAGACTGGACCCCTCTGTCCAGTTGAGACCATAAAGGGACCTTCCACCCCCTTCCTTACAAAGGCCCCTGGAACCAGGGGGCTGGTATTCCTGGAATACTGGAAGGCTTTTCAGAGCCCAGAGACTTGTTTTTGCCTTTCTGTTTCTGATTGCAGTCTTTAGTGGCCTGGGGTCAGTTCTTGATGAGGACATCACTCTAACCTGCCTGGTGCCAGCTTCTTCCAGCTCAAGACATCAATCATGCCCTGGTAATCTAGGCCCCATGGTCTGGTACCAGACAGGTGATGACTGAGGTTGGTCCATGCCTGCTCCAGCCTGGGGCACACTGGTCACAACTCCACAAAATGAGTCATATGCTGCCAGCCTGTCCTTGCTCCTTTTGCCCCCTGTGGCTTTAGTGCAAATGTCACCCGTGGGATCCTTTCCTTGTGGGACTTTGTTTATTTATTTATTTATTTTTAAATGCCATATTGGAGAAGACATTTGTCTTCTTTTCTGTTTAAATTGCTTTCCATGGGTTTGGGAGACCTGGCCATCGATTTTCTTTTAGAGTTAGTAGAAAGCTCCGTGAAGATTTTGGCTAATTAACTTTCGGAGAAGTGCCACTTAAGTTTATCCAGGAAGTTGAAGTTCTTTTTTTTTCCCCCCTCCTCCCATATCTTCAAAAATGGCATTTAACTTTTATTTTCAAATCCCTGCCAGTATCCCGTCTGTTCAAAAGTGATTTCCCCGGGGATAGATGATGGTCTAGAGGTTCCAGTCTTTAACACAGTGGGTTAGAGGCCCTTACCATGTAAGCCCAAGGGACCCGAGTTCAATCTCCGGAACCCCTGTAAAGGCAGAAGGTGAGAACTCCGGCACGACACAGGATCTGATAGTTATAAGAAGTTTCATCCACACAAAGATTACACTTTTGAAAATACACATTTCCCCCAGCGTGCCTGTTAGTACTGACACCGAGTGTCCGGAGATCAACTCCGTTTTTACTGCATCCCAGCTCTGTTGGGCTCCATTCGGTGTGAGATGCAGATGCTGGACAAGCTTCACCGTTCACTCTTAGTAAGTTCACTTTCTTGTTCCTCTTATGTGGGCCAAAGCTGTTGGAAGCGAGGAACATGGCAGGGAAATTTGCCTTAAAATCTTACTATGGATTTCTTACATACTGGCTTCCAGAAGAAAGAAATCCTGTTTCCTCCAGGAGGTGAATTTTACCACACCCCCCCCATCCCTTTTTTTGATCTCAATTTTATGTTTATCTTCTTAATTTTTTCCCCCTTAACCAGAATTTCTTAGGTTGAACTAGTGAACATCTTTTTAAAAAGATCATGAGATGAGTCTGGATTGATGGTGGTGCTCACCTATCATCTTGGCCCTTGGGAGGCTGAGGTAGGAACATGGGCTCCATAGTAAGATCCTGTCTGAAAGAAACGGCATGGCTGTTTGCTGCTGGAGACTCTGGGCAGGCTGTGTCATCTTACATGGGTTGAACTGCCTGTAAATGGTTCCGTTCCTCTGAGACACATGGCCTTAGCAGGGGGAACCGTTCAGGCTGGTGTGACACAGGCAGATACTTAGTTGAAAATGTTCTTCATTTTTGATCAATCTCATGGTCCTTGTTAGTATCTTTGATTACATCAGATTACGTGCCGTTCCATTTTATAGCATTTTAATGGGCTTTCAGCTTTCCCTCCCCAGTTCGTTTCCAGCTGTGTGGTTATTAGGCTTTGATGGTAGTTTGGTTTTGTTACTGCTGGGATACCTTCTCTGTGTGCTAGGCCTTCTGTGTGACTATGAGGATCTTCAGAGGTGAAGAGAGGGGGTAGAGGGGTGGAGGAGCAGGGCGGGGCATTGTTTGTTTCTCAGAGACTTGTCAACAGTTAAATTACAGACGAATCTTCCATGACTGCATTCTCCAACTGTAAGATTTTTGCTTTCGATCCTTTGGTAGGAGGCTGGTGAGATGACTCAGTGGAACTCAGTCCTATGACTGAGCAAGCCTTAGGACCTCAGTTCCATCCTCCATGGAAGGAGAGAACTGTTTCTGCAAAGTTGTCTTCTGATCTTCACACAGTGCCCTGCCCCCACACTCACGCACTAGTAATAATAATGATAATATATTAATATACAAAATAAAGTTAAAAATCTTCAGTAGAATCTGATCCATTGATTTTAAAAAGAAGGAACAGAAAAGTCTGCTTAAAACCTTTCTGTCTGGCAAGCAGTAGTGCAATATGCTGGATTAGAACCCTGTGCATTGTGGGTGGGATTGTGAAATGGCTGAGCCACTGTGAAAACAGTATGGTAGTTCTTAAAAAAAAAAGCAAGAAAGAAAGAAAGAAAAAAAAGGAAAGCAGAATTTCCAGATGCTCCATCAAATCCACTCTTGGGCCTGAACTCAAAATGATTGAAAGTAGAACTTGATGTTTATACCCCTACGTCCACAGAGTATTGTGACATGTTTTCTGTAGAGAGTATAGTTACTATATATTCATAGTGACTAGGGCATGAAGGCAATCCAGGTATCCATTGACTGATGAACTGAGAAGCAAAGTATGGAGTATAATACAGTCTGACACCGAAGGACACTCTGACATGTATTATAGCATGGGTGAATCTAGAATGCTGTATGCTAAGTGCAATACGCTGGCCTCAAAAGATCCAAATTATATGAAATACTTGATTCACAGACATAAAGTTGACTCTGTTTAAATTGGGTCACCACCCTGCAAACCAGGATGGTCTTCTATTGTATCTTCAACTCTGGGCATTCTCAAGTAGTATTATTATTAATCTTGTCCTAATTAAAAATCTCTCTCTCTCTCTCTCTCTAAATGCTACTCACATGTGTCTATATGTAGAGGTCAGGAAAGGGCATTAAATCCCCTTAATGTTATAGGTGGCTGTGAGCTGCCTGACCTGGATGCTAGGGACCAAACTCAGGTCCCCTGGAAGAGCAGTGAGTGCTCTTAACAGCTGAGCCTGCTCTCCAGCCTCACCATTTTAATTTTCATTAATTAAATTTATTCTTTGGAAATTTTACACATATAATGCATCCTGATGACTACCACTACCTCTCTTATAGCTCGTCCACCCACATCAAACTCCCCTTTTCCATATAAGGCCCCATCTTCCAATCATGTCTTTTTGTTTCATTTTGTGTCCTACTATGTTTAGGCAGGGCTGTGTGACCAGGGGTGTGGGACTGTGCACTGGGGTCTAGTGGGCTCCCTTTGGTGGTTACACAACTCGCCCTTCTGTAGCATCCCTCAGCAATTCCTAAGGTAGGGGAGTGTCAGACATTATTTAAATACTTCTCTTGTTTTGATCAGAGAAAGTTCTTTTTTCTTTAACTGTGGATTTAGAAGATCCACCTGTGTCCTTCCTTACATGCTTCTTACAACGAATGGCTGAACCTCTGCAGGATGTCTTCACTGCCCCTTGTAGTCTTAGTTTATTCTAAATGCTTCCCTGTTATAATAGGAATCTGGATGTGTTTTGGCAACTTTTGAGAGCAAAATTGTGGGGCTGCTCAAAGAGGGGGCTCTGGCAGCTGGATGCTCTCTAAGTCCTATGCAGAACATTGCTACAGACCACCTCGAGGGGCTGGCCACATCTCAGCATCTCAGGACAGGGCTGGCCACCTTTACTGATGGTTTGTTCTTTGGGGCCTATTTTAAAGGAGCTTCTAAGCGACTTGGTAGATAGGACAGGAAATGGGATCTGGTAGAGATTTGATGACAAATGGGGCTCTTGGTGCTCATTGACTTGGTTATCATAAATGTGGCTGCTTCCTGAGGAGAGAGTGGGGGTCTTCTTCCCTCTGATTGTGTCTACTTTCCCTGGTCTCACTCCTTGGCTCTTTTGCCTCCCGTAGGCTTGGGGACCAGTTCTACAAGGAAGCCATTGAGCATTGCCGGAGCTACAATTCACGGCTGTGTGCAGAGCGGAGCGTGCGTCTGCCCTTCCTGGACTCGCAGACTGGGGTAGCCCAGAACAACTGCTACATCTGGATGGAGAAGAGGCACCGAGGCCCAGGTGAGTCATGCCACCGCTGGGACCAGCATGCACAGGGGCTCCAGTCTGGAGGAAAAAATACTACTGTGTCTGGGAGTGCACACAGCTGGGTAGGGTGGGGGTCAGATAGTACAGATTCTCTAAGGGACCAGACAAGGATGATGGGAAGTATTTATCTCATAGAAGTCCAGTGAAAGCAATCTTCATTTTTCACCCTTGGGTGTCTGCAAATGTGCTTAGTTGTGGGAATAAGGCTTAGTTTTGTCATCCGAACTCTGTCCCTGAGGCTTGTCGCCTGTGAAGTGTGGAGAATCTCAGTATTTACTACACAGACTTTATCGGGATTGAATGACAATATCTATAAGTAACTCAATATGCATATGCTCTAAAATACTGGATATTATTGCTGTCATGGCTAAGATTTTAATCTAGGCTTCTCAGAATAGAATAAAAACCCTGGTGTAGATTAGGGAGATAGCTAACTCTAGAAACGCAGTTTTCTGTGGTCATAATTTTTTATTTTAAAATTTAAGTATGTATATACGTGTTTCCATGTGTGTGTGTGCATGGTGAGTGTGTGTGTGTGTGTATGTGGGTGTGTGGGTACATGTGTGCATGCAAGTATCTTCCTTAATTAGCTGCTCTTCACCTTGCTTTTTGGGCCAGGATCTCTCTCTTTTACCAGTAGCTTGCTGATTCAGCTCGGCTGGCCAGCCAGCGAGCCCCAGGGCTCTGCCTATCTTTTCCTCCCCAGCACTGGGATTACAGATGTGTGCATTCACATGGGTTCTGAGGATTGAACTCAGATCCTGTGCTTTCATGGTAAGCACGTTACCGGCAGAGTCATCTCCGTAGCCGCTGTGTCGATTTCTTCTTTTCCCTACATTTGGTAGGGTCTCACATAGCCTAGGCTGATCTCAAACTTGCTGTGGAGCCGAGCCAAACTTGCTATGATCTTGACCTCCTCATGGTCCTCTTGCCTCTCCCTCTCAGGTGCTGGGATTAAAAGCATATGCTACCACACCTGGCTCCGTATGAGTATAGCAAGCAAACTTTTGTTTTGAAAAGTTTCATATTCATGTAAAACTGGGATAATGGCAGAGAAAATGGAAATCCTCATGGCCCAGCTCCACAACAGTCACTTTCGGCCAATCATTTCATTCATTCTTAGCTGTCACCTTTCTCCCCGACTCTGGATGACTTTGAAGTAGATCTGGGACAACACATCATTTCATGTATAAATACTGTGGACTTAAAATGTCAAGCCAGTTGGGTACAGTGGGACACACCTGTAATCACAGTTTTTAGGAAGCTGAGACAAGAGGACAGCGAGTTTGAGGCCAGCCTGGGCTACATGACAAGATTCTGCCTGAAAAGATAAAGGAAAAGACCAAGCCATCCCACAATCTCAATCAAATCAAACAGTCGGCACTCATCTCTCCAGCCCTTATCTCGCCTGCTACCTCTAGTATAAACCAGCCTCCAAACAGGATTCCTACATTGCACCTGGCTGATGTCCCTCTTAGAAATCTGCAGGCTTTTCTTGGACACACACTCTTTCTCCTTTGTATGTTATTTGTTGAAGAAACTGGGTTGTTTGCACTGTAGGGTTTCCAGAGCTGGATCTGCTGATTGCATCCCCGTGGTGTTATTCCTGTGAATTGATAATTAGGTCTAGAGACTTACTCAGGCTCTCTTCTCTCTCTCCCCTCTCTCTTTGGCAAGAGAAATTCCTAAGTGGTAGTTTGTGCTTTCGTCAGGAGGCGCGTACAGTCTGGTTATCTTCCCTTTATTCATGTTAGCAGCTCTTGATGATAATCATCTAGATTCTTATTCCATTAAGAGTTGCAAAAAAAAAAATGTGGCGTTTGATTGGAGGCCATCTTTGTTTTTTCATTTGTTAGCTCTACAGCTTCTGTACAGGAAAACATCCCCTCATTAAAACTTTGGTTATTATGAGGTGCAGCTGACAGGAGATAGATGGTATTTCCCCTGTATTTACCAGTTTTCAGAATAATGACTTGGTTCCTTGGTATTGTGCAAAGCTGATCAATACAGTTACTTTAAGTGCGATCATGAAGTCGGACTTAAACACATTGGATGCACTTTAATCCATGGCAGCTGTCATTCTGATTGATGGCTACGTGGTCCTCTCTTCAGCCAGTGGGGCTTTGGAAACAGCCCCAGTTCCGTCTGGTGGCTTCCTTGCCATTCCAGTATCAGGACACATGGGTGCAGACTCACCTGGTGTACTTCTTGCCTTAGACCTAGATGGAGCTACTTCTCCTTGGAGCCCTGGCTTCTCATTTTTTTGTAGATGTTTAGAAGCAACCATCTATGCTGTTCACAGCTCTCAGGTTTATCATTGTTTCTCGGAGTTTTCAGTCAGCATAGCTATGAAGCATGTTTTTAAGTGAAATACGCTGTGGAATTATACTATTTCCTAGCTAATTCAGTTTTAAATAGTTTGTACTTAGTTATCTTTATTCTATCTCCCTCTTTTCAGACATTCAACACACACACACACACACACACACACACACACACACACACACACACACACACACTTGGACACACATTCCCTGTGAGTGCATGCATGTACACGTATATCACATACATGCCATACACACACATGTTCACAAATGCATGCATGCATACAACACATATGCAATATACCCCCAAACCAGGATTTAGTGGTACTGACACACTTGCTTTATCCCGTACAGTGCTCACAACAGATACATCAGTATCACAGTAACAACAAGACTATTCATAGGAAGATTACTGGACAGGGTTTAAGACTTCTTTCCTTTTGCCTTTTGTGGGGCTGCTCTTCCTTAGGCTATAGTGTCCAACCACTCTGCCTTGAAGTCATTTCAAACAGTCTTCTGTGTTGGTTGTGACAGTAAGTCTTCTACACGGTTGGATTTATAGGTTTCATTTCGGTTTTACTTATTAGGGATTGCTCTGTGCAGAGGTTCCATAGAATCTCTTTTCTTACAATTAGTTTCTTGTTTTGAGTCACCGTATACCTCCTGGGAGACACAAACACAGCACAGAGAATGCCTGTCTGATTTTCACTCACTGTCCCCTAAGATCAAACCAGAACATCTCCCCAGAAGTTGATGTTGGTGAAATGCATGTACAGAGCTCTTGCCATTGTTTTTTATATTTAAAACAATTTTAAAATTCAAATCTGTTCCCTTCCCCCAAGTCCTTCCAGATCCTTTCCCCTTCCCTACCCACCCAACTTCAAGTTCTTTCTCAAAAGACAGGTAAAACTCCAACACAACAACAAATTCCCAAAAGAAAGAAAACAAAATACTATCCAAAAGGAAATTAAAAAAAAAAACACCAGATCATAGCCAAATAAAAGCACACACAAAAAAAACTGTGAAGTCCATTATATGTTGGTCAACTGCTCCTGAACATAAGGCCGCCCTTGGAGCTATACCCAGTGCCACTCCACTGGAGAAAACAGATTTTCCTTCTCCAAGCAGGTATAAATGACAATCTAGTTGTTAACTTTTACCAGTGTGTAGGTTTTTGTTCATGCATTCATTCATTCATTCAAAAAAAACCCCAAAATAATATATAATATGTAGCATGAATCTTAACAGGCTTTATTAATAAAAACAAACCTGGAGCCAAGTATTGGGGTGAATGCTGGAAGATCAGAGAAGCAGAACAGGCCACAGCTACCTCACTTTGCCAATTCCTCAGTTGATCCTGTTTCCTCAGACTGGATGCCTCTCAGCTGAACTGTACTGCTCAAAAGCCTAAAAGCTTAACCAGGCTCTAGTTCCTCGTCCTCATGCCTTAAATACCTTTCTGCTTCCTGCCATCACTTCCTGGGATTAAAGGCGTGAGTCACCATGCCTGGCTGTTTCCAGTGTGGCCTTGAACTCACAGAGATCCAGGCAGATCTCTGCCTCTGGAATGCTAGGATTAAAGGCGTGTGCTACCACTGCCTAACCTCTATGTTTAATATTGTGGCTGTTCTGTTCTCTTACCCCAGATAAGTTTATTAAAGTGCACAGTATTTTGGAGAACACAATACCACTACAATAATAGAAAACAAAAACTGTCACATTGGTGTTGAACAAGACAAACCAACAGAAGAAAAAGAGCCCAAAGGAAGGCACAAGAATCAGAGACCCACTCATTCACACACTTGGGAATCCCATTAAAACACTAAACTGGAAGTCAGTCTAAGTGCAGAGGACCTGGTGCAGACCTGTGCAGACCTGTGCAGCTTCAATCTCAGAGAGTTCATATGGGCTTTGCGCATGTTGATTTAGAGGGCCTTGTTTTCTTCTTGTCCTCCGTCCCCTCTGGCTCCTACACTCTGCCTCCTCTTCAACAAGGTTCCCTGAAGATCTTGCCATTTTACCACATGTAACCAACACCACAATCAAGACACAAAACCATTTCCTCACCATGGAGATCTTTTTCATACAGCCCCTTTATAACCACACCTCACCTTTTCCTCTCATCAAAGCCTCTCACATCTCCATTGATAAAACAGCTGTCCTCGTAACACGAATTGCTAAATGGTCTTATTAATAAAAAACCTGGAGCCAGATATGGAGTAAAAACCTGAGAGATCAGAGGAATAGGAAAAGCCACAGCCAACCTCACCTTACAGACGCCTCAGTCTCCAAAGAGACCTACTTCCTGTCTACCCACATCTATATAACTTTCTGTTCTGCCATCTCATTTCCTCTCTTCGCCCAGCTACATCACTTCCTCTCTCTGCCCAGCTCTGTCACTTCCTGCCTGTCTGTACAGACCTCCAGACTTTTATGGCTTACTTGTGTTGGAATTTAAGGCTTGTGCCACCATACCTGGCTCTGTGTTCCCAGTGTGGCCTTGAACTCACAGAGATCTGGATGGATCTCTGCCTCCCAAATGCTAGGATTCAAGGCGTGTGCTACCATTGCCTGACTTCTATGTTTACTACAGTGGCTGGCTTTTTCCCTCTGATCCTCAGATAAGCTTTATTGGGGTACACAGATAAA